CGTTGAAATGTAAGATTATAATTGTTATCTTTAAATTTTGAAAACGTAGAAGAAATAAGCTTGTGTCCGATAACAGAAAGTTGAAATTTTCTCTAGTCTAATTATCTCAACTCTAATTTATTCAAATATGCAGAATAATTTATATAAAATTTAATTATGATATTGTTTACATTTTTTTTATAATTGAAAATGATTAAAGAGTTTGTTCAAATTATGACTAATTAATGTCACAGAAATATATGAAAGAAACCAACCATTGATTGCCAAAATTTGCTCCCAAAAAAATTTTATATTAAAAAAAAAATAATACAGAGCTATTGCATTAATTTTGTAATATTTTTTTTCTATGTTGTGATTCATTATTTGTTTTTTGAAACTTTATCAGTTAAATCAGTTCTCTTTCATTTTACAATTCTTTTCACAAAGAAAACAACTGAAAACTAAAAGCGTTTACACTTCTATTAAATTTAAAAACATTATAAAAAACGTCATTTTCACTCATGAAGAAAATATTGCTAGTCAGCTGTTTATTAAATTGCTATTCTTATTATCAAATTGCTATTTCCGTATACTAAATGAAAAAAATAAAAATTTTTTTCATTTTAGGAGAACAGATTTTAATATTTTCTTATCAACAATATTTAATATTGTTGACACTTTAATTATAATTTTTTTAACTCGTTATCATTTTATTCAAAATTTGAGTACATTCTTGTGTATGTGTGTTGTCTTTATAAAATTTTATTATAATTGCGTACTTCCTTATTTGTTTATCAGATTTTATGACGTTTAAAAAATTTAATGGGAGTGTTTTAACGCTTTCAGTTTTCAGCTATTTTTAATATATTTTTTTTTTGTTCATAATTATTTTTAAAATAAATTCTAAATAATTTTCTTTAAAAAAATTATTAATTAAAATTTTATTATTTTATATATTAAAAAATGATTTAAGAAACCATAATTTTAATAATTAAATTTTTGTTATACAAAAAATATATCTTATGTATGTATATTTTTTCTTTCGTCTTAATCCACTCAACAAAAAAAATTATACAAAAATAAATAACATGTGTAAAATACCATAATTTATTATGTATACATTTATTCCATGTATGACATAATAATATTATATATATATATTTAAATAAATATATGTACATAATATATAATAAGTATATTATGCGACATATTAAAGTACATACTTTATATCATATGCATATATCTAATTTATATTCATAAAATAATGCATATCTATATACAGAAGTGGCTTAGAAGCTCTCATTTATCTATGTAAAGATATTATGTACATAAATGGATATGTATATACAATTGTGTATACAGTTAAATATATTTAAGTATTCAAAAGATTTATTTGATAATAGATATGTAGAAAATTTTTACTTCCATTAAAATTCGCTTCAAGCTAAACAAAAAAAAAAGAAACATAAATTAAAAACAATAAAAAATAAGTAAAGAGTTTTATGCTCTATTTATATTAAATTAAATATTTGGGTATATGTGTAGATATGTATGTATGTTCGACTTACATATACATTGTACATGCATAAGAATTTGTACTTTTCAAAAAAAAAAAAAAAAAAAACAACAGCATTATTAATATTAAATTTAAGTATTTTTTTAATTTAAATGAGATTATGGATAATTTAATGTTACCTTTTATTTTATTTACAAAAATTAAGCAAAGATTTATATTTTCCAGATGTCAGAGTGATTTTTAGACCAGTTATGAAAATTCTGTACAAAAATTTATTAAAAATGTACAATGTACGCTACATTGTACTTTTGTTAACCTCAATGAAATAAAGGCAGTCACTTGAAAAAGTTTTTTAATTGTCACATTCCACCAAACCGCTAAAATAAGACAGATAAAATTTGAAATAATAATTTTGACTTTATTCTTTCATTGGGTAAAAAAAATGGGCGACCATGATATTTTTACAGAGCTTGGTAATAAAGCCGTTCGTTCCCTATAATTTCTAGAAAATTTAAAAAATTTAGAAAAATGGGAGTAAATGCAGATAACAACAATAAATTTTAATGAGTTTTTGCAAAGAAAAGTTTTTTTGTTTTTTAAAAGATAATGCCATTCATTTGGACCAGTTATTTCCAAATGAAACTTGAACTACTTTCGTACACGAAATATTTTGTACTTTTATTTTACTCCTATCAATTCAAATCATATTTTGATTCTAAATGATTAAATATTTTAATCTTTGTATAAATTTCAGATGCTTTTTAGCTTTTTTTCAAGAAAATTTTACCGGAACCATTAAACCACACATCGATACATACATACATATAGTTAAAGTTATCTGCCATTAAATTTCATATGCGTCTTTAAGTTAATTTTAAAAAGGATGCAAAACAGTAAGATGTATTTCATTTATTACCAATTTCTCGACATAATCTCATACATAACTACATACACATATTCGTATGTATATTGAATAACTGTAATACTCAGTAAACACAAAAACTTTCATTTTTCTTCAATTATTCATTGAATTTTATTGAATCTGTGTTAGAAAAAAAAAAGAGTTACATTACATTTTTTTAGATTTTTTCAAAAATTATACTTACCCTCTTTTGTTTACTATATAGAATTGATGTAGTTAAAAGATAAATTGCTTAAGTGCGTATTTTTTTTAAACAATCAGTTTTGAAATAAAGCAGCAGCAAATCGTTAAAATTTTATGTTTTGTTTTTTTTTTTTTTCTATTTGTAAGATAAATTGTCGTCTATTATTTTATGATTTCTTGGCAAAAAGTCAAAATAAAATGTTTTTGATTTACATATTCTAACAAAACAAAAACAAAATACGAATAGAATAAATGTATGTACAAATTTTTCGCATACTACTGAAATGTTATTGTAATAGGATATCTAAATAATAAGTATCTTTGTTTGTACTCATGTACATACATATTTAAGTATGTATGTACATTTCTTTTTAACTTAATCATCAGCTTTATTAGTCTCCATTTTCTTTTAGAAATGGCCTTTTTTTTTTAAATTAACGGGACTTGTTTTTTAAATAATAATAAAAAATAATACAAATTTAAGAAAAAATAAGATTTTAGAAAACTTTATTCTTTTAGCTGAACAAGACAATCTGAAAGCGTTTTTCCTCTGATTTAAAAAATCTTAAAACTTAATATATTTTTCTATTTTGAATAAAAACAGTTTTCACTTTTATAGGATGATTTTAAAGGGTTGGTAGTTAAATTTAAAGAAAATTAATATGTATAATAAAAAGGGTTGACCCTGTAAATTGAGTGATACCACTACGGAAGCTTTACAGGCTATCCCTATTTAATAAGGTTCTATTGCCAATCGCAATGTAATAAGATTCTTGTTGTAATATTTTTAAGTTGTTTGTGAAAATTTGGTTATCCTCATAACACATTTGACAGACATAATTGAATTGACTCAAAATTCGAATGAGCACTGGTCAAAAACCCCTATATATATAATTATATGTGTATATATGTATATATATATATATATATATATAATTATATGTGTATACCCCAAACGTTTATTTCTTAAGAGTTACAAACGGACTGGTAAATTTAAAATACCTTTCGAACATTCGTTCGAAAAGAAAACAAGAATTGGAACAAAGTAAACAAATTAACAGCAACAAAAATTCTTTTTAAATTATACTACACCAATTTTATCTTAACGAAGGATTTACGATATTAGTTTTCGTTTAAAGTATGTGACTATCTTACGAAATTATCCGATAGCACGATATCAAAAAACCAAACACCACCAAACTTTCAAAAATCGTTTTTTTTTATTTAAAGTTAAGGACGACTGCTATTGTAATTAAAGCAATTCAAGTAACGAGTTAGGGTGACCGTCATACAACCTTTTCTTAATTTTGAAAATTTTAAAAATTAATTTGTATAGTCAGACTATCATAGTATAGGGCTAGAGGACAATTTTCCTCAAAAGACAATTAAAGTTGAAATATAGACTTGTATGAATTTAATGTTAATGTGTATAACAAGTATGCCCTAGTAATTGTAGTGCACCTACAAATAACCTTTAATAATTTAATCCTACTTAAAAACCATTTCAAACATATTGAAGGAAATTATCTTTTGATAGAAAAACAAAATGAAATCCTTCTACTAAAAAGGATATATTTATATGGTATTAAAAATTACATTTGCAACAAAGAAAAACAAATAAAAAAGTGACAAAATGAATAAAAATGCTATTTTCAATTTAGCTTTTTTTTTTTTTGTTATTAAGCAATAGAAAAAATTCTAATTCATACAATCTGAAACCTCCGGCACTAATAAAACAAAAGAATGCAACAAGTTCTTAATTGTACAAAGTAAATGGAAAAAATGAAAGAAAGGTGAATTAATTTTGAAAAATCATTATAAATTTTTGCAAAGTTACATACATACATACAACTATAAGTGTATTCTATGTGAAATAAAAGTTTTATTATACTGTCATAGTTCGTTAATAGGAAAATGTTAACATATTCTGTTATGTAATTTTCTTAGCAAGTAAGAAAATTAAAGTTCAATGAAAGAAAATTTTAGGTTAACAATAAATTTAAAATAATTTGGCTGATCATAATATAAATTTTGATATAATTTCAAAATAATTGAAAAGGTTTCTATAGATCTTAACCCAATAAACAAACATTAAAAAATAGGAATTTAGATGAAGAAAGTATTACCTATTATATTTTGTATAAAACTCGATTTTGTTTTAAAAAAATTATGTTTTATACAAATGAAATTTTAAATAATCTACGTCTATGTATATGAATAAGAAATTAAGTAATAAAACAAAATCAAAATATTAAACCTCATTATCTCTTAATTTTCAAAATCTATCGTTTAACACCTTCCCTATCTAAAGCTTTAAATTTTTAATTTAAAAAATTTTTTATAATTTAATATATTTTTATATAAAATGTAATTATTAATAATTATTAATAAAATTTACAGTTGATGCCGATGAAATTCGTCGTCTCGGCAAACGTTTTCGTAAATTGGATTTGGATAATTCGGGTGCATTAAGTGTAGATGAATTTATGTCATTACCAGAATTACAACAAAATCCATTGGTACAGCGTGTTATCGATATATTTGATGCCGATGGAAATGGTGAAGTAGATTTTAAAGAGTTTATTCAAGGTGTATCACAATTTAGTGTTAAAGGTGATAAACTATCAAAATTACGGTTCGCATTTCGTATCTATGATATGGATAATGATGGTTACATATCAAATGGTGAACTGTTTCAGGTAAATTATAAAAAATTAAATATTTTTAATGTAAACATTTTTGTTATTTTTAATTTTATATTTACATATATATGTATATTGTTTATATGTATATACATTCTTAGAAAGTCAAATGCTTTTACTTTTATTTTAATATTATAAACTTAAAAATACAAAAATTTATTTATATGTAAAAATCTTATAGTAATTTATTCAAAAATATTTGTTTTGAATTTTCTTGTTTTATTTTGTTTGTTTTTCGCCTTACTCATTCCAAAAGAAATTATTATAAATTAAGAATAAAATTTAGAAAAAAAAAATTTGAAAATTAAAACAAATCACACAATTCAGGGGATAATAATAACAAAGAATGTGTACATTGAATGAGACGGAAATAATTTTTGTCTCGTTTTATACAAAAAAGAATTTTCAATTTTCGCTAGATAGAAAAAAATTAAACAAAATTTATTTTATGTTCTTTTCTTACTTTCTTGTCAATTTGCCAAAATTAAAAGAAAATATTAACACGTTCAATTTTGATATTTGAGCATTACTTATACAAGCATTCAAATATATTATGTTTGTTGTACTAAAAAACACAGGAAAGTCTTTTTATAGTACCGCCAAAAAAAAAAAAAAAAACTGAAAATTAACATAAGAATTTTACGTGTCATTAATATTTTTTATTACATAGTATAATTACTTTTTTGTGAATATGTAATGCCGATCGTTCTGTCATTTGCGGTATGATTCAAGATTAAAACGATTCGTCGTTCTAAAATCAATAATTCTCTATTTAATTTCTCAAACGAATATTTTATTTTTTGAAAAAAAAAATTGTTATTGCATTGATTTTTATTATTTAAATTTTAAATTTACTAAAACGCAATTTTATATTTTATTGTTTAATGCAATTTCCATGTTATTTAATGATTAAATTGTTATTATTTAATAAAAATTATTTCAGCTAGATTTTATTCAAAAGAAAATAATTTTTACAGTAGAGTACAGTTATTTTAGGTACCTAACAAGCAAATAATATAATTTAATATATAAAACAGGTTTATTGTTATATTTTATTAACGTTTTTTCTCTGTTTTTTTTTTTTTTGTCTTTTAAATTTTTTTCCACATTGTACGAAAAAGAATTATTAATTTCACTTTAAAGTATCTATAAATAAGTAAGAAATTTAATGCAAAAAAAATAACTGTTCGAACACAAGTCTACTCTAATGATATCTAATCATTTGACCATTATGATTTACTGTGTTGCCTCATTATTTTCTTATAAGCTTTTGCTGAATGTTCCATACTACTTACTAAGAGTTCACTGTAAATTATATTTTTGTATTATATTAACATATAATATTTTGTATACATAGGCCTATAAATATAAATATTTTTGTTTATTTTTTTTTTTCTTTTTTTGAAATTATATTCACATGACACTTTCATATTTAACATTATTAATTATAAAAATTATAGACATATACATACGTAACCTATACTCTATACGTATGTATGTATGTAAATAAAATTAAAATAAAATTTACAGCTTAAAAAATAAGATGTGTTAAATAATAATAATTAGAAAAAATATAAATTGATTCTATTATAGTAGGTATAAAATATTTTTGTTTTAATTTCTTTGGATCATAAGGAAATGAATGTTTGAAAAAAAACAAGAATTATTACTTTTGCTATGCATTTGTCAAAAAAAAAATGGTGTGATTCATAAATTTCTTTAAATTGTTGTTACTTTTGACGTTCACTTATACAATTATTGATATACAATATTTTCATCGGTTATAACAACTATAGTCGCACAATTTTTAATGAGAATCCAAGATTATTGTTTGACACATTGACAATATTTAATTGATTTTGACAACGTTTATTATTATTTGAAATGTCATATATGGTAATATGTTCAGTGTTCTATTTTTGTAATTAAACTCAAAATTTCTCAATGTTTAAAACAAAATAAAAATATATACATATATATGGACATTATATTTATGTATTTTATTTAATTACATAAAACATGACCAAATTAAATTAAATTTTTCTTAAATTTTTTAATTAATTTTTTTAGGCCTTTTTTTTATTACGTTGAATTTAAAAAAAAAATAATAATAGATTCGTTAATAGTTTTAATGCAAAGACTAAATATTTTATATATCGTATTTAATTTTCTTATATATTCAAATAATTACTAGTTAAGAGTCAACAATTATTACTGAAATTACCAATTTTAGATTTTTGTCATTAAATTTATTGAAAGAAAATCGGAAAGAAATCGTATTTAAAAAAAAAATCAATATCTATAGTTAAATAATTTATTTAAAAAGATTTAATTTTTATTGATTATATACAGTGATGGAATTCATCTAATTCTAACAAGTTTTTTCTTCACTGTTTCTCAAAAATACTCTAGTTTAAAAAATTTTTTAACTCTTCTTGTTATTTTGACCCCTTAATATAACAAAATGGCAAGATTAGAATTGAAAATAAGAAGCATTTAAAAAAGGTAACACAAAAAATTATTCGTATTAGAATTAGATATATGAAAACAAATTCTAATGTAATCAAATCAGCTAGCATCATACTAGCAATAGACATAAATTCATTTTTTATTTTTTTCAAATAATATCTTTATAACAGTTTCATAGCTATTATGTATAACAGTTTATTACTTCACTGCGTCACCAATATTTTATTCTACATACAAATTTTATTCGAACATGGAACCGATTTTTAAATCATTTAAACCCCAACATTGTGTATGCATATTTGTATAATACTATTTACTAGTACAATTTGTTAGATTAAATTGTGTTCATTGAAGCGATATTTTCTTTTTAATTTAATTTATTTGTAAGAATTTTTATAAAAGATATGCGAAGATTTATAGAAAAAGCGTTTTTATAAAACCTTAATGTTCAATAAACAAAAAATATCGATATTTACTAAAAAAAGAATGGTAAATTTTTAAAGTTAAGCTGTTTTTAAGCATTTTGCTTTAAGTAAGTAAACAAATTTTAAAAAAAAAAAAATAATGTTTTTTTTTCCAAATTTTGGCTATATTAGACTAATCCATCAAGTTTGCTTGTAGTTATTTTATGCATATGACTACAAATAAACTTATTACATAATATGTATTTTAAAATTTGCGTTTTCTTTACATTTTAATTAAGTTTAAATTTGGCAAATTTCATTTTAATCAAATTAAATTTAATAAATTAACATAGTATTTTTATTTTGTTAATTAAATTTTTTTAAAAATTCTTCTAACAAATATTTATGTGAGTACACATGGACATAGAATTCTATATGTTCATTCACCAATCTATTCTAGTCACATCTTTATAATTCCGTTTATATATTCATATACATATATATGTTATATATATACGTATGTATTAAAAATCTTTAAAAATTTAGTTGTTAATGAATAACTCTTCTAACTTATATTTATTTTTATCACGCTCATACTATGTAATCATAAAAAAAAAACAACGATGGATATACATACATACATGTACATATTTAAAGACTGGTATTTTAAAAATTTTCCAAAAGCGTACAAATTATCAAATTTCGTTTTATATAAATTTTTCAATATATTATGTTATATTTAAATATGTATGTATATATATGTAATTTAATTAATCCATCATGAGATCATTATTGTCATATATGCCGCATATACATATTACATACATATTGTATATTTTAAAGCAAATATTTTACCAATTGCTAAATATTACTCAATACTTAATACATTATATACATATATATAATTGCCATAGTTTGATATTAGTACATATTGCATTATATGAATTTCATATATATGTATAACATATTACATAATACCAAAAAAAAAAAAAATAATTATTTTGTCATTTTAGATATTTTATTTAATTATTTTATTTAGCATGTCTTGTCATGTGTGTGTATACAGGATGACATAGGGTTTCCAGTATCGTAGATTTTTCATTAGTCATAGATTTTTTTAAAAAGTTTGTCCATTAATATACATAACTGCAACGGCTCCATTAAACAAATTTAGAAAATTAAAAAAAAAACTTTACTGGAAATTTTGTAGAACCTTTTTCAAGCTGTGGAACTCCGAATTCGATTTTAAAAAAGCTTTCCTGAAAAATTTATAGAGCTCATTCAAAACCCTTTCGGCAATATATGTCGTATGACTATATTTAATAATTTTTTCACTCACAGAACTTTTTTTTTTTTGGATACGCTCGATTTTAAAAAAATATACGATTCGATTGTTTGCCACATATGAAAAAAAAAATCATTCCTGAATAAAATTTGAATATAAACCCAACTGTTCAACTCTGATCAAAAAGAGCTTGTTCTATTTAACATCAACCTTATCAATCGTATTCCTGAACGACATTCATAACCAGCGGCAAAAAAAGGGAAAACAAGAAACAATAGGTTTAAATTTCACCAAAATATTTTATAACTAATTTGGTAAGATCTTAAAAATTCAAAAGAAGAAGCATTTTTTTTCCTTAATTGTATTGTAGAAGATGTTTTTTTGAAGAAGGTAAATGAAATAAATCCCCAGAACATGAAAACAATTTTTTACTTAATAATGCTTTTCATTTTGTTAGACTCTATTTGCTAGTTTTTTTGTATTAATTTTTTTAATGAACTATGTACTAAGAAATTAGTTTTTTTATACTAAAACAATGTAATTAACAAAATATCGAAATCCGGTAACTAAAAAATAACTGCGGTAACTCTATAATTGAACTATAATGAACCCTTTATTATATATATTGCCATACATACACGAATTATAATAATCTTAGAGGTTTTTTATTGCTTATATAATTAACGCTAATGTCTTAATTTTTTGTATTCTTAAATTTTTGTTTAAATTTTGATTTGTTTTTAATTTTACCAATTTATAATTTTGCTAATCGTTTTTTAGCAGATTCTTTTGATTCTATTTTTGTTTTTTTAATCAAAATTTTCTAAAATTAATTTTTTTCTTTAATTTTATTTTTAATTTTTTTTTAATTTTATGTGCCTTTATTACATTCATAACTATTATTACATATTATTTATTGATTTGAAATATGCCAGAAGCAATAAAATGAAAATGAAATAAAAGAAATTATTATTTCAAATTTAATTATAACTTTTATTTTTATTTTAATACTTTTACCCCCGATACATCAGTCGACCTTGTCAATTATACCACTTGTAGAATATATTGAATTTTCACAAGGAAAAATTTTCATTTTTCTTTTGTAATTCTGTTTTTTTTTTTTTTGTGTTTGCCAAAGCTGCCGGTAGTAGAAGGTGTCAGTTTTCTCATATATATTTATACATACGTATATGCTAATAACATGTACATATATATATGCATACATGCATAATGTAAAAGAAAAATTTTATGTGTGTAAAATCAAATTCTTCTTGTTTTAAATTTTTTTTTTATACCTATTTTAAGTTTTTCTCTCTCAGGTTAATATAAAAGACTTAAATAGTTTTTCAAACATTTTGTATTTTCGTTTTATTTTCTTTCTTATTGTTTTATTTTATTTCTCATAATGAAAATCTTACATTTTAATCTAAAGTTCATTGATTTTATATTTATTGCTTTTACTTTTATTTGCCCTCCTCTAAAATGCATATAAAATAAAGATATAGATACGTAGACTGCACACATATTATCCATCCAATCTATAAATATTAATTTGTCTGTCTGAATTACAATTAATTATAATTAAAAATTATTTTGTTGACCATTCACAATATTTTTAAACACATGTACAAAATATGTCAATAACACAAGGTGTAATCGATGATTTCAAACGCCGGTCTACAACAATTTGATTGGAAAAATTTTAATTAAATTTAAAAGCAAAAAACCATTTATGCTCAAAAAGTCACTTTTGCATATCAACTTTCGTATACAACTTTTGCATACAGTCGATTGATAACTGTTTAGCAACAACTTATTTTTGATTTGAATATTTTCGACTAGAACTAAATTTCACTAAATAAAATTAGTAATCCCTTTCCAAATTTTCCATTTTTCACAAAAACAAAATCAGTAGTGGAAATATTTTTATTACAAAAAAGCCAAAAAATTTTAACAATAGGCTCGTCAATTCACATTATTATAATATATGATATATAAAACATATATACACAAACAAAAAACAGTACAACTATTTTAAAACAACAATTAAATTAACGCTTTTAACAACTATCTTAAATACACCATAATTTTCAAAATTTACTTTGAATCAGGTTATCAGTGAACAAAATTTTCAAAATAAATATTATTATATTTATTAACTACATATATATTTATGTATATATACGAATTTTGCCTATATTAATGAAAATATTTATTACATAATAAATATATTTACTTTTTTTTTATTTTTCAGGTGCTTAAAATGATGGTAGGTAATAATCTTAAAGATACACAACTTCAACAAATTGTAGATAAAACAATTTGTTTTGCCGATAAAGATGGAGATGGTAAAATTTCCTTTGATGAATTTTGTTCGGTTGTCGGTAATACAGATATTCACAAGAAAATGGTTGTTGATGTTTAAGTTTCAATTATATATATATGTATGTATATATATAATTAATAAATTAATTAAAATATTTTATATTTTTTTAAATTTTTAAACAATTTTTTCATTTTATATTTCATAAAAAATAAAGTAACAAAAAAAAAGAGAATATTATTATTTTTCTTTCTTCTTTCTTTATCTTTTAATAATATATTTTTCGTTATTTTTTTTTATGAATCAATTTTATTAAAAAAAAAAAACCTTTTATGACTACTTAAAAAATATTAAATTATATATACCTATTAATATATTAAAATAAAATATCTTTTTTATTATTATTATAATTATATTAAAAAAAATAATTATAAATTAAAAAAATTCACAAAAAATGTGAAATATATAAAAAGAAAAATTAAAAAAAAAATAAATAAATAAATTTATAAATGAAAAAAAAAAACTAAAACAAAAAAAGAAAAAACTCTATATATTTTCTTTTCCTTTTTATACTATCTAAAAACAAATAAATAAATTATATATTAAAAAAAACACAAAAAAAAGATATAAAAAAAGCAAAGCAAAAAATAAATTGAAAAAAAAATTGTATCTATCTACCTTAAATTTAAATTTAAAATTAATATTAAAGAGAATTAAATGAATAAAAATAATGATATTTAATTTTAAGACAAAAACAAAAATTTATTTAAAATAAAAAAAAACAAAACATAATTATAAATTATTATAAAAGTAATAATAATAAATATTAATAAACAATGAAAGCAAAACAATTGTTATCATCATACATCTCTGTTTCTCTTTTGATATAAAAATAATATTAGCAGATCAAATAAGTAAAAAAAAACAAAACGTGCATAAATTTTACATTAACATTCAAAATAAAATAAATACCATTTGCATTAGATAAAATAATTGAAAAGAAAAAAAAAATAAGTTAAAAATAAATTATAAATTACAAAAAAAAAACAAAATTATTGAAATATAAAAATACACAAATAAAACAAAAAAAAAAAACAGATTATGTAAAATTAATTTAATTAAAAGCGGAAATAATTTTAAAAAAAAAATTCAAAACAAAAAAAAATATGTAAATTTTAATATTAAAAAATAAATAAAGAAAATATTTTATAGCCTTAAAAATTCTAAATAAATAAATTTCTCAAAAATACAAAAATATCTTTAAATAAACATTTAAAAAAAAAACAAAATTTAAATTCATAATATTGAAAAACCAAAAAAAAAAAATTTAAAAATTATTTCGAAATCTATATAAGAGAAGCAAATTAAAAAATTCGTGCTTATTTAAAAGCTTCTTATATTCTTTTATTAATTCTATCATATTTCTTTATATATTTTTGTGATTGCAAATGAAATTTACCGAAAGAAGAATTCCTTTATTTAAGAAATTATTCGTTAATAAAATTTTTACTTAAATTAAAGACGATTTAATAACTTCATTTACAAATATTAATTCGTTTTTTTGAATATTTAATATTTTTAAATTCTTAAATTAATATTTTTATGTTTACATGCTATATCCTGCAGGATATAAAAATGTCCTTTAAAATTTTATTTATATTTAATTTTAATTATTTCATTAAATTATACACTATTATATAATTATATAATAGTACATTAATTTGAATAAAATTTACAATTTATTTAAAATTTTATCATTTAAAACATAAACTATAAAGTTTTTAATATTTTATTCCTATTTCTTAAATACAATTTTGTAATGTAAAATTAAATCGTCATGGTAAACAGATAAAATATATTTATCAATTAAACGAAATTATACAAAAATAAAAAGAAAGGTGTCATACAAGGTGTTAAAAAGTTGTATTTTGCTTAATTTATTCAAAGCAAAATCAGTTCATATTATTATTTTTAGTTTTAGCAAATTTTTTTGCGAAATGCTCATTCTGTCAATAATTGAAATTTTTAAGATAACTACACTACAATTCAAAATTTGATTAGCAGCATTTCCTTATTCTTCAATAACAATCTTAACAATTAAATTAAATACATATCATTTTTCATTTTGAGATGAAATCAATTGATGAATAATGATATTGAAATTAAATCAACTAACTATTAGACAAATTCCAATTTTTTTGTTGCAAATTTAAGAAAGTTCGAAATTTTCAATTCTAACTGTTTTATTTTTTGTTTTTTTTTCTATCAAAATTTTTTCTAGGGAATTTTTCATTTTAGCAATCACTTAATAAATAAACAATATATATCAATAATCTCAAATCATAAAACCTTATATGTACTTGCATATTATGAAATATAATTTAAAATATAAAAACTTATGTATATAATGTATACATATTATTCATAAACTTATGTATGTATTTACCTGTACATTTAATATAACAGCTATTTGTGTATTTTTGTTTCTTACTTTTTTTAAAGAATATTTTTACTTAATTTTATCTGTTCATTTAACAATTTTTTTTTATATAAGAAGTAAATATGTATATATGCAATATATATATATATATATATATTATAGATTTCTGAAAATTATTACAAAATTGCAAATTTTAATAAATACATATGTATGTGTGGTCATATATCATATAATTATGTTCAGATTATGTGCTCACAATATGATATGTATTATTATAAATAAGAAATATTTTAGAAACAGAAAAAAAAAAATATCAGTTTTATATTTTTATATTATAAACTGATATTATATTACTCCTTTAATTTTGTTATTATTTCCTGTTTTTTTTTTTTAATGTATTCTAGTCAATGTGTTATAAACCTACGCATGATTTAATCTTCCAGTTTTCCTAAAAAAAAAAATGATAAAATAAAAATTAAAAAAAAAATTTTAAATTAAATTTAATTGTAAAATAATAAATTATAAAAATTTTAATATATATATTATAAAATACAATATATATATATATATACGAGTATATATATAAGAGTATATATGACTGATTGTGCAAGTGATTTATCACCTTTGTATGAATATTGATATTGTAAATTATATTCATTATTATTTAGAATATCGAAAATGAAATTTTAAAAAATCTTATTTAAGAAAGTACTTATTTTAAGATTTGCATGTCATTTCTTTAATTTCTTCAGAAGTTTCAATTATTGTTATTTAAACATAATGTAATAACAAAACTGTTTTCACTTTAAACTTTTGAAAGTAGCGAATTTAATTTTTTTTCACAAACTTTTGAATTCAAAAATTTTAAAACTTAAAATCACAAAGTAAATTATTTTATAATTTTCTATTGAACTGCGTTAAACAAAAAAAAAAACAAAAAGATTCAAAATTTTCTTATATTATTAAAAATTCTTATAATTAATAAAATCAAAATTACAATTTGAATATTATTCATTAAATTTGGAACTATATTACATAATTTAGCACGAAAAAAAATGAATATAATTAAAAACAATATTTCTAAAAAGGTTGTTAATCATTTTCCACAATTTTATATATTTAAATATGTACATTTATTTAAAAAAACCATATATTATGATAAATATTATATAATAATAATGTTCACAAGATAAACACATTAAATATAATATATTCAAATGTATATAACAAGTACAGCAATAAATATAGCTATATATATATGTGTATATTTATATATAATATAGTTAAATTACAAAAAAAAATCATTTAATTTTTTCATTTAATTATATTTTATATTTCATTAAAATAATAAAAAAAAAATCATGTTTTAATAGAAATACGGACTTAAGAAAATGATCATTACTTTTTAAGTAAAACTTAAATTGATTAGATAAATAGTTAAACAAAAAAAAAAAAAGAAAAAATCTCAAAAAAAAAAAAAGAATAAAATGTTATATTATTTTATATTATTTATTATTTTATAAATTTATATTATTTAAAAAAATATAAATTTATATAAAAACAAAAGATCTAACACAACTTTTTAATAGAAATTTCTTTAATTTCTTCAAGTTGTTTTCTTTTTAATTTTAAATAAATTTTATTCTTTGTTTATTAATAATTAATTAAGCTGCTGTGCAAAAAATTATCTTTTTTTTTTTGTTTTGTTTCATAAGAGAAATTGAAATGGACATTTAGAGAAATCAAATTTTGAAAACAAAAAAGTTATCATTCAGAAATTTTTCATTTGTCAAATTAATTTAAAAAAGTTTCCCGTCTTTATAGTTCAATTCTTATATAAATATATAAACATAACCTTTATATATATATATATATATATATATATACGTAGTTTATTTTATATTATATAATAAATATGGAATTGTATAGTTAGGCCTTCATTGAAATTGTTAGGCTTCATAATCTTCAACTAATGTTCAATCATTATATGTAAAAAAAAAATATATTTATAGAATCTAATCTACATACATATGTATGTGCAAAATATGTTGTTTGATTCCAAAACAAATTTCAATTTTTTTCTTCTTTATTCCACAATTAAATTCCAATTCAGAAATTCTCCGTTAGATCATTTTTTATAATTTAAAACTAAAATGAAAAACTCAAATAAATTTGATCAATAAGTTTTAACATGTTCAATCTAACAATTAAAAATCAAAAATTTTAAAAAAAAAAAAAGGAAAATTTTTAACTAATCGCTTCACGTTTCCATTTAAAAAAGTACTTAATTAAAAAAAATTTCCTATGCTTAAAAATAAAAATAATTTTTCTATTATAATTTAAAATGTTACAAACTATATTAAAAAGTTATTCAAGCAAAACCAATTTTAAATAAAATAAATATTTTTTTGCTCCTTTTCAAATTAAAGTTTTTATAAAATTAATTTACTTTAGTTTGTAGATTGTAAATTTGTACAACCGAGGTAGCAGTACACCGCGACTACTTATAAGGATTTGCTGTATCCTTCCCCCCTCTGTGTGGGGCATGTTGTGCAGCACCCGCTCCAGGCCGACTCTCCTGATAAACTTGAGAATCTTGTGAGGGCCAGAAGACCGCAACTCCGCTGTTGTGGAAGCAAAAACCCCCAGAATTTTCTTCCTTCACAGTCCTGATATGATTGTCTATCTTCTCAGACTTTAGCAAAAACGATGTGGGGCAAATCGGTCTAAAGGACTTGGGCACCATGTCTCTTCTTCCCATCGTGGAGATAAAGACCACCCTAATCACCCGCCAGGACTCTCGGATGTACCCTAGAGCCAAGCTTCTCCTGAATATTCCGAAATAAATCTTGTATGGAAAGAGGGTTTGAGGTGCGGAAAGCCTGACTATCATATATACGGTCTATATTCACTTCCATCTTAGGTGTAAATGTCCAAATACTAGAGGGAATTCCGGTGTAACCAACTAACGAACGATTGTGCTCGAATCCTAATAGAGCTGTACAATCTCTAAATTTTTAGTTCAAAATTCCAATTCTGAGATTTGATTAGGGATGGTTTGGAAAACTATAGAATAGCATATCTATAGCTAAAATAACTTTGTTAAGGTCTGCTTAATTTAATATTGTAAATTGAGTATATACTTGATAAATTTGCAGCAAATAATGGTCTTTCAGAGCACGCCTAAAAATGTTTGTCTTCTAGTTATAATTGTCACCCCGTAGGCTTACATCTTGACATCTGATGAGCCTGTGTGCATATGTACATACAGAAATATTTAGCATACTTTATATTTTCCTGCCCCGCTCTGCATAAATCTTTTGTCCTGTTGTTCTTATTATAACACCTTATGATTTCCAAACCTTGTTAAGACGTACTTTTTGATTCTTCAGGTGCAAATACAAGTATATATTACAGCTACGGTTGGTTTCAGAGTTAGTGAGCTTATTCCAGCATATACTTCTCGTTCAAAGTCTTCAATGTGATCAGCGTCAATAGCCTTGGAATGCTTGGGATACTCAATTTCTTTCATCTCTGCCATTGTTTGTGTATAAATTTTTCTATTTGTTCCTGGTACAATTGACATTTGATCTAATGTCAAAATAAAACTAAGATAACTGAAATTCTTATGGAACATCTTGCACAGCAATTAAGAACAATGAATTTAAAAAATCGAAAAATTAAATGAAAGAAATAAATAAATAAAGTTAATGAAAAGATTTTTAAAATATTTTAAACATGAATTTAAAAAAAAAAACTGATTAATAAATTTTAATTGTTTTTTATACTTTCTTTTTGCAATTGTTATTTTTACAAATAATTTTTTTTT